ATATATATATATATATATATATATATATATATATATATATATATATATATATATATATATATATATATATATATATATATATATATATATATATAATATATATATAATATATATATATACAATGCGCCTCACTCTGCCATACTTGTTTTTTACTTGTCTAATACCAGAGGATTTTACTCGTCAATGGGGAAGTTCTGCAGCTTAATGGGTTAAACGTGATATCTGCCTCCTCCTAATATAAATTTTCATTGTGTCATTGCTGTGCTTGGCTTAAATGGCTGTACTTGTTGCTATTATTGTAATTAATGTTCTCGCATACCTTATACAGGTTCTTTGCTAATTTCTAAACGGATTGAAACTAAAAATATTAAGTCATAGGGACCCAGTGATATAGTGTTCTGTACATGCACGTACTTGTATAAAGATACTTAATAAATTGTAAATCCTTCTTGGCTTGTACATATAGCAATCGATGATTGTGAAACAATAAACTTACAGTGTTCTCAAGCAGCAACACAATCAGAACCTTATGCAAAGCCTGAACCTAGGCTTCTTCGTTCGTGTTTTGGAGTGGATCAACAGTTGCCAAGATCGACCCATATCCTTCCCAACATCTGCATTATTTGCAGGAAGCAGAAATACAATAGAGATAGACATTCGGGTAAGCGATCTTATGAACATCTGGTGCAATGTGAATTGATTTATGGTGGACAGTTGCTTGAAGCTGCTCGACTCAAGAAAGACCATGCCATTCTTTGTCACATTGAAAATAGGGATCGTGTTGCAATAGAGCTCAAGTATCATACAAGTTGCCATAGGGAATATACAAGATTTCTTTCTAGAGCAGAATGCACTGAAGAAGAACCAGAAAAACTGTATTCTTTATAATAAAGAATAATTTATTCTTTATTCTGCAGTAATAAATTTACGTGGTGTTTCCACAAACAAAACTATTATATTTTATCGCCATGCAAACATACAAAGAACTTATGTATTCTTTATCTTTTGACAAATTCTGCAAACTTCTATAATAGTTAATAGAGTATAATCACAGGTCAAAAAATATTGCGGCTCACCAAACTTAAGAAAATATTTGATAAAACTGTGATGCATGGATAATAAAGGCAAAGATTCATCATGCTACAAGACCTAGAACATTAAGATGAGATTAGCAAGTAGATTCCCACAGTTATGTTTCCAGCAACCCAGTACGCGACGAAAAATGCATATTTTTGCGTGAACTATTTCGAAAAATTTCAAAATTTTGTACTGAATTTTAACACCCATGATTTCAACAACATTAATAAATTTGTAAACAAAATTAAAAATTATAATTTAAGTTTTTATCTAACAAAAATCGAATGAACCAATAGGTTGGCCACCCAAAAAATGGCGGATTAAAGGCCTGTTCGCATAGCACGAGAAAGGCTAATTAAACCATCAATACCCAGCTACTGGACGTGGGAACGTTTGAATTCTTGTTAAGAATATGATGTTCTATATATTTAAAAACATTTCATTCTCTGCCAGTTCAGGGATCACAAAACTCGCTATTTAGAGCGATATAAGCAGGAGGGCCCACAGTCTAATTGTTTTGTATTTTCAAAAGTTACTCAATGGCAATTGTAACAGAGTGTAGAATATTTAAATGTTGTTTATTTATTCTAGTTTCATTCCTCACTTGTGGAAACCGCTCTTTATACTACATTAATTTAGTTGATATTACATAACGGATATCTTGTAAAGATCTTTTGGGCATTACATAAAATTCATTGTTTACTGTAGGTGGTTTTTCTGCAACGTACAATCTAAAAAAGTCATCCAGTATTTTGAAAGGAGAGATTGCTTTTGTGAAGCAACTGCAGAAATGGTTGGGGAAGAAATGTAAATGGAATCTTTGTTACAGAGCTTCCAGAGATGGTTGGAGTGCCCAAGATTTTCACAAACATTGCGACAATAACGGAGCGACAGTCGTTTTGGTGAAAGCCAATGATTGTATTTTTGGAGGATACACTGACCAACACTGGGACGGTATGTCAGATAAGATACATAATATTTCCATAATTTATGAGAGCTATATATTTGTACTGCAAACTGGTCGTTCGCACAATATCGGACGAATTCGGAACCGTACGCCAATTCGTTCAGTTCCATTTGTTTACACGAGAATTCCTAGGGTTGTGTTTGAGTTCGCCCAGTTTCATGTGTCCCATGTGAACGCATCGATTGGGTCAAAATCATCCCGATCATATCCAAAAGTAAATATTATAGAAACTATTAAATACTTTATTAATATCTGATCATTAATTTTGTTCAATTTTAAGGACCCGGTGTTTATAAACATTCTAACTCGTCATTTTTATTCTCCCTACGCAACAAAGCGAACCTTGCTCCATTTATTGCCAACATCAAGCAAGGTGAGCAGCAGCATGCAATCTACTGTTACCCTGGTTATGGACCAGTCTTTGGTGGAGGTATTAATGATCTGTGGATTCGTGATAATCCTGAACATAATCAATCATCCAGCAATTTTGGAAGCTCATATCAACTTCCTCCTGATTATGTCGAGAACAGTGAACAAGCAAAGAACCTTCTTGATGGTCAGTACAATTTCTTAACAACAGAAATTGAAGTCTTCAACTGAAAACTTTTCGTTTATAACAATCCTCAAGTTAATCAATCAGACAGCAATTTTGGAGACACATATCAACGTCCGCCCGATTATGTCTACATGTATGGCAGCGAACAAGCAACGAACCTTCTTACTGGTCTGTACCGTCTGGGATTGACCGTGCCAATAATTTACATGATTTCACAAAACTTTTGACAAAAATTTTCCGGACGATTTTTGTCAAAAGTTTGGTAAAATTATCTGAATCTTCTATGATCAAGAAAACACTGATAAACCGAGTTTAGAATATCATACTAAACAACAAGAGTTTATACGAGACAATTTTTGATGAATTTTGTGATTTTATTTAAATTTTGGTTTACCATAATTTAATATTTACGAAACAGAACGTATAATGCTAACATTTTTTTAGTTCTAGTACATTTCACTCTCTTTCGCTGACCGGGTTTTCAAGAACTTCAAAAACCAAGTTTCTTTTTCTGTTATTGATTTGGCAGCCCAGTTGAGCGACTACGTAATTTCCTATCCCATAGAGAGCACGCCGAACATCTGCGTACTGAAGCAGTACGATCTTGTACAGTTTTTCCACTAAATCCGGAATTTTCAGGACTTTCGAATCGCACGTACGTTTTAAAATGTGATTCATGCTTTCGCATGAGTTGTTCTTTCAGGTAATAGGGATAGAAGTAGTATCGGGAAGAGGGGTCCTACAACGGGCGGTGCTAAGTGCACTGTGCACCGCCCATGAAGTCATCATGTAACCTTTCTAATTTATTCAGACTCACGTTAATTTATTCCAACTTACTACAAATCGATTTTTTAAACTTTTTGAACCCCGACGGCCCGACCGTTTGTTTATCTACAGTTTTTAGTTCTGATTTCTGGCTACTTTGCTTTCGTTTGTTTATCTACTGTTTTTTAGTTTAAAAGAAGGATAAAGGGGGTAATGCGAATGCGAAATCGTACTGATTTTAGAACAAAATATGCTGCTATGCTTGGATAAATATATAAATTAACAGAGACGGATTAACGTTTTAAACCATTTATTTCTAAAGTATATCTATTTTACATAGGGATTCTCTCCGGGTTCCCTCGGGGTTCTCTGTTTGTAAACACCAGTACGTAACGGGAATTATGGGACTCCTGTCAGATTTATAAAATTGGCAAGAAACAATATCTCTGAAGCATTAGCTGAGGTGATTAATCTATCTTTGGCACAAGGAGTTGTACCTGATATTATAAAAATCTCAAAAGTTATACCAGTCTATAAAGGTGGTGAGAGTTTTGACCCTGTTAACTATCGTCCAATATCAATACTATCATCATTCAGCCAAATATTCGAAAAGTTGGTTCAAAAGCAACTTATAAGTTATGTTAAAAAACATG